TGATTGCAGACTGTTGCCTTCTCAGATACAATTTGCAAATATATTTTGGAGTTTTATTTTAGGCAGGATGACTAGTTGAAGGTTATTTAATTGTGATTGATTGTGCATGGGATGTTTCTGCTGCCTTTATTTTGTGAACAACCTGGAAATAGTAGCTGAACGTTGAAGGACAAGTGAAGGGCATTGGCCTGGATGGAAGGAGGGGATGTAGTGAGTCTGAGGGTTGATGCTTCTAGAATTACATGTGTGCTTTTTGGAGAAATTATCTTAATTCTAAGGAATGAACAATATTTATTAACATTAAATATTTAGTTTTCTTCAATACTTGGAGTTTCTTTAGGGAATCTATTTCTGCATCTATTTTGTTTTGGTGGGTAGGCAGGAATTGTGAATATGAGAATATGAGGCTTGACTGTGTCATTTTCATATCTGCAGCTTCCCCAGGCCTGAGATCCCCCCATTGTTTGTGCAGAATCTCTTCATTAATATGGGTGAGGAGCTTGGTATTTGATAAAATTAATTTATCATTTGAGATTACTGAACTGTGACACTACCAACAGGCAGCATGAAGAGAAGACTTTTCACCACAGCCATTCTGTGGTGAAAATTTCACTTCTCCACAGCCATGCTGCTTTGGGTTTGTTTTCTGCCAAGGTTTGAAGAGCTCAGTTTAAAAGCTGACTCCTTATCTGCAGTGGCTGCATCCTCATTTCGGTGGTTAGAAACATCCCTTCCTGGGATGGGAAACATCCCATCCTCACCTTTGAGTTTTGTGTTGGGTTTTTTTGTTTGTTTGGGTGGGGGGTTTATTGTTTTTGTTTTTTTGTGGTTGTTTTGTTTTGTTTTGTTTTTTGTTTGTTTGTTTGTTTGTTTTTCCTCAGTGGTTTCTTCCCTGGGTCTTTTTGCTGCCTAGTGGGTAAATCAGCCACAATCTGCCTCTCAGGCAGTGTGTTGGATACACATGTATAACTCTGTTATTAAATTCTTCTCCTCAGTCAAATGGACTGATGAGAATGTGGTAAGACAAACATATTTCTGTTATTATTTTCATCCTATTTATCTTACTTTTTTAAAGTTGCCTCAGAATTTGCAAGAAAGCAAGGTTTAAAAATAGCATCCAGCATCTTCAAGACCCCAGCTGCCACCTGCTTCATATGGTTATTCATATTTTTCCTTTGCAAGACCTATTTTCCTCTGTGTCATCCATGACTGGGTGAAGTATACTCTTTCATTCTGTTTCATTTTGGAGATAAGTAGAAGAAATGAGGATAAAAATCGCTGACTGTCTTGATTGTGTCATTTTTAGAGTATTTGTCTTTTCTGTTTCGGGGGGCGAATCTGTTAGAATTTTTAAGATAGAATGTTTACAACTCACTGAGCATCATCTTGGGACTTAGAAAACTAATAAGTCGCCTAAGATAAAATAATTACTTTTTCTAAAAATGTTTGTTTTATTACCTATCCCTACTTCATTTCATGCATGGGGGAATACTACTGAACTCCACAATGCACATCACAATTTGCTCCTAAATAGTCATATCTTTCAAACAGCATAGCTTGAAATGATTTGAAGAGTAAGTACCTAATTCAGATGGATAAAACAACTCATTCTTTAGCAGTTTCCCAGTTTTAGGGTAAGAGGATTTACTGTGGCATAGCTAAAGCAAGTAGACAAGTGCTCTTTTTCAGCACCTGATAAAAGGATGAGTCCTCTTTTGTTTCTGAGCAGAATTATCCTACCACAGGAAAGCAGTTTATCAAATATGGGTAGTTGGGGGTGGGGTGTTTTGCTTTTAAAAAAGCTGGTATGTGTAAAATGAGGATTATGTCATGTTGTAAGCATTTCTAAAAACAGAAAAGAGAAATAATAGGAAATTTAATCTTTATTCATTTTTGGAGGTATTAGAAATGTTGTGACTAAAACAGGCCTTCATGCATCATAAATAGTCTGTCAGCTTCTGAATGGATTATTAGGAAGATAGAAGGTCTGGATTCAGTAGGATTCTACAGCATTATTTTGAAGTTGTATTTTTTCTAAATTTAATTTTATATTAGAAGTTAGTGTCCCAATTAGTTGTGTCCCAGTCCACTAAATAAAACCAAATCTGACTACTCTGAGCTAGTATTGCTGTACTGTATTTAATGAGACTTCATTAATACTGCAAAGCATTTTGCTTTTTATTACAAATTTTACTTAAGTGTTCAGGTGCAGAATAGAGGAAGGGATAAGAATAATTTGCATATCTTTTTTTATAATTTAATGCATACCTATTACTTTCTGGATTGTATTGCCAAAATGTTACGACTTCGTTCTAAACTCTCCCAGTGAATTATTGACTTCCTTTGGCCAGAGATGAGCCACATGTAGTTTTAGGTAAGAGAAGATTTAATTAAATTTTTGTTTGTCGTTTTAGCTGGAGTTAGAGGTGATATAAGCTGTGCAGACCTCTGGGTGCTAGTCTATACATGCTGATCCAGAATGTGACAACCTCTGAGCTTTAGCATATCTATATTTCATGTGGAAGATGTGTGATGAAAGCCCATGAAATTCTGTTCTATCCCACCCATCTGCTCTTTCATGATGCAATTTCTTACATGTACTCTCAATATATGAATGTACTTAATAGCTTTGGTGTTGGGGCTAACTTTTAAAATTTGAAGCAAAGCACATGGTTTGCAGAGTATTTGGGGCAGCAGGGAGTCAACTTCTGTTTTCCACATAATTAAAAAATGAGCTGTGCTTTTGCAGGGCCTCCTGTTCTGCCTCTCTTGTTGAGCATGTGTTTCCTGGGATAGACCAGTGAGCTTCCCTTGAAGATGCAGTTTGCATCCATAAATTAACTAAGAACGTCCAAGGGCAGTTGCTAAATGCATTAATAATTGTGCAAACATGTAGTTTTGTTGTTTCCAGAGCAGTGGATAGCACCCTGGAGAAGCAGAGAGCCAAAGGGACGTGCAGAGCAGCAGCACATCAATGTAGATGGGCAGGGAGCTCATTTCCACACAGGCATCCTGGAGAAACAAATTATCTTCATGATCTTCGTGTTTGGGTATTGATTTTGCCTCAGGAAAGTCAGTGTGCTGTCTCTCATACAAATAATGACAGCCCTGATTTTTGCTTTGGAGAACAGGTGAGGAAGGCATTGGGTCCAAAGGAATTAGATAAAGGAATCCCTAGAAATCAACCTAGATAACACCTCCCATAACCTTTCAGGACATATGACTTCTGAGACACTAATAGCCATTGTATCTTATGACATATGTGTAGGTACAAATTAAAATGAAGATAAGAGCTACAGAAACCAGTAAAAAACTTATGAACTTAAGCACCCTGGTAAATACCCTTTCTATATCTGAGGTTGATTCTTTAAAACTGGAGACATGAGATTAAGCAAAACATAAAATACCTATTCCTAGTATGAAATCTTTGCTTAAATTTATCCTGCTTTTCAAATACTGTGGCTATGGAGGAAAATAATTATATTGGCTAAATAGTTTTCTAGTTCTTTAGCTATGCAAACCCCAATTTATTTCAGATGAAGCAGTGTGAAGTGTGAGCTTTCCTGTTCTACATTTCATTATTTGTTGTTAAATCTGATGTTTGCCTCTTCAGAAGTGCCTTGTAACTTTGGTTGGCCTTTCCACATACTTGGTGTGTACAACACTGATGACATATTGCAGACTTGGAAACTTTTCTGAAAAATTCAGAATAATTTAATCAGATAGGAATCTTGGCAAAGTTTTTGTATGGTTTCAACTTGAATGTTGAAATGCAAACTCACACAGATACAGTTTTTTAAGGGTAAATGCTTTCCTAAAATACCCATGTTCAGGAATCTACTGAAATTTCACACATCCTACACATCCAGAACAACTGTTGCTAGAATTTAAACAGTTTGTGTAGGGATACCCAAAATCAGAACTGTTGCCTTTGGCAATGAATCCATACTTAAGTTGCAAAACTGAACTGAAAGAGAAAACTTTTCCATCTTGTACTGCTCCTCTGATTTTAACACTGATGTAATATTCTTGTGTCTTCTTGTACTTGTGTTTTATGTGAGCACTGGGTACGGATTTAGAGGATCCAGAACGTCCTCAGTGATGTCCTGAGAGCTCCATAACATTCTAAAATAGTAATGTACAAGACCGATTATCCTCTTACTTTGTTTTTACCAGAATTTATTGCTATGAATGAGTGAGAAAAATGCCCTTGGTCATTCTTAAATTATAGATTTAAAAAAATACTTGAGAACTCATCTTGAAATATTTTTACATTACTGTCAGTGCTTGACATTTAATAATAACTTAGAACTTGTTCTATATTTTCTTCCAGAGTCCTAACAGAAGAGCTGAAAATCTTCATGTTCTAAATACTTTTAGATCAAAGTGACTCTTAAATAATTTGAAAAAGATGTATAAATATAAAAGTATGTAGAGCATAGTCTGTTATCACTGTAGTTATCTGAGTATAATGCTTTGATAACTGATGGATTAAAAGAAAATACTGCAGTAGTTAGGTAAGATTGCTCAGGAATCACAAAATAAAACTGTGTATTGGTGGAGTTTGTGTTACCTATGTATTTTCAGAAGTGACCAGTAAAATCAAGTGTTCCCTGAAATGCTTTACAAGACTGATTATTTTTAAGAAAATAAACAAAAGTGAATTAGTATCCTTTACACCATTTTAAATAAATTCCTGTAGCTGATGAGGGGAATTTCTTATCAGAATCAGCACCTCTTGTAACCACTGGGAAAAAAGGGGGGGAGCAGTTTATCATAGCTTATTAATTGTGAATTAAAACTGCAAAAAAATTACCTGTCAGATTGAACTTTGAAGGTCTTTGTTATTACAGATGTTGCTGATCAGAAGCTGGGGTAAGGCAATTGCAGGACTCTGCTCAGTTGCCTGTGCTTGTGCAAACAACTTTGTTTCCAGGCAGGGAGCACCTTCAGAGATATGTGGTTGTAGCTGTAGCCTGAATTTTGTCTCCTCTTTGCAGGCAGAGCTTGTTGATGTCCAGTATGGGACCATGGATGACCTGATCCGGATCCAAGCTGTCACAAACGTGACCAAAAAAATTGCACTTTTGAAGCTTGGACAATCACCTTTGCTTTATAAGGTTAGTTACACATCAGCTGAATTATTCCTTTGGTGGCTTGTGGTTTGGTTTTTGTTTGTTTGTTTGTTTGTTTGCATTTTTGGGGTTTTTTTGGGGGTGTGTTTCTGGTTTGTTGTTTGTTTCTTTTTTCTTTTGGGTTCTTTTCAGTTTCACAATACAAAAACAAAGATTTTCCCATTTTCCCCAGTAAGTCTGGACTTATTTACACCCAGATGCTTCCTCAGTACTCACCACTGTCACTCTGCAGTGCCTTTTATGTATTAGAGTTGTTTATTTTGCTGCATATCTTGCAGTGCCCTACGACTCTGCTTTATGTTTTCTGGGTGTACTAGAAGCCTTTTGACAAACAAAGAAATCACTGAGAAAACTAATAAAGCAGAGGGGATTGTGTCTGGAGAGGGTGTACATGGGTGCATGTGTATCCATCCTCTCCAACCCCAGCTCTGGCAGAGAGCACAAAGCAGGAGCTCACTAATCCACTTTTGCACTAAACATAATAAACCACTCAACATATTAAACCACATTTAAACTCTAAACATCCAGTAACTGCCTTCTGTTGCAAATATCTTATAAACAAAATCGCTGGTTTGACTTTCAGAATATACAGAAAGTATAGTAGCTCAGTAAATGCTTAAACAATTCATTCCCAATTCACAAAAGCAATTATAAAAGAGCAGGGACTCCAGATCTTGCAGTTAAGTAAATCAGGACCTGCTCTGTTGGCCATGGAAAGCCCAGCCAGGACTTCAATACCGACTCAGAAAATAAGCACTTAATGTTTTTTTTTCTATAGGAATAAGATTTGTCTCAATAAAAATGCCATTTTCAACGGAGTAGGTTCAGCTGTTTATTTAAATTATTTAGATGCAATTTAATTATGCCTGTGAAAGGTCAGTTGTCATTGCTGGGACTCAGTTGTTGCCCATCATTTCCAACAATAGATCTGATCCTGCATTCCTCTGCTGACAAAGCCAATGAAACAGCAATCAGGGCTCATAAAGCAGGGATTTGATAAAGATGCAAAGTTTGCTGTAGCAGCACTGTCTGTGAGATGGACTTTTTAGCAATTTGTGTTCCTGTGAACACTCACTGTGTCTGAATTACCCAGCAGCCTGAAGGAGAAGAGAAAACCAGAAAGTGTTGAGGACAAAGCACATCTCAGGAGCTTTTTGTGTGGGTTGGCTGTAACCTGGTCCCAAGGATGTGCTGTTTAGTGGCTGAGGTGCATTAGCTGCATTGCTGGTGCCCCAAAAGAATCACTTTTGCACGTTCAGAGTGTGTTATACAGCACAAAGCAAAGTGTGGTGTGATCAGAGACTGACTCCAGTGTGTGCTCAGGGTCTGAGGTAAAATTACAACCACCCAAACCTACTTCCATGTTCTCCTCACAGAAGGTTTACCCTTTTTCTTGAGGCTCCAAACCACCCTTTCTAAAAGATAATATGTGTAAAAGAATATAATTATTTTTCAGAATATAATTTTTGTCTTTTTGGGAGTAGAATAATTGTAAGCTTTCCTTTGCTCGTGACTATCAGTAAAGGTGTAAAAGATTATCAGAAGTAGATTCTCCTTTCCAAAGGAATATCTTATGTGAAATACTGCCTTAAACTGCAAGTCCTGCTGGTTTAAATGAGCCCAGTATCTCTCTGCTGAATCCACTCTTTGTATCTTTTTTTCCCCACTAATGTTTATGTTTCTGTACTTACTGAGTCTCACATTTCTGTTTCAGCTGATACTTCCCTCTCCCTATATTCTCCTTATCTCTGCCTTCCATGTGCTTGATTTTACATCACATTAAAACAGAGCACTGGCTCATAAGAGAGTTGTGGCTATATAAACATCTACACTTAGTGGGTTTCTTTCCACTTTTTGTATTTTACTTGTATTTTTCATGTGTTAATTTCCTTTAATTTTTTCATTGTTATTATTTTATATTATGCAAGTATCTCACTCTGGATTGGAGTCTTATTATTATAGACCCTGCACTGAGGTTCCATCTTCATAACAGTTTCTAATTATGTCTCTATTTTTCATTTGTATCTCCCTTGCACATTTATGCTTTTTGTCTTTCTCTCTTTACTGCTGTTTTTCTTGTGGGTTTTTTTTTTTTTTTTATGCTTTCCCCTTTTGTGTATTTAATTTGTCTTTTAAAAAAAATGTTTCTCTGTTCTTTCTCTCTATACTGAGTTCTTTGGAAAAAACCTGAAAGAAATAATAAACTACTGCTGGCAGAAAAAAATCACCATGAAAACTGAACAACATTTCTTTTGTCTTTACATCATATTAAGAGAAAGGATGTGCTGGTAGAAAAGAACTTCATGTTCAAGGGGCTAATTTACAGAAATGAGTCCAAGTGATGGAAATTTGAATATTTGGAAAAATAGTTGTATAAGCAACAGTATTTTTGCAGTGTAGATTTAGTTTATGAAGATTGGATAAGGTACAAAATTGGGGGAGGATTAAAGTTGAAAATAATTTGGAGCTTCTACTTTCAGTCTTTCAGACTGTGCCCATCTCTCATATCTTTAGACACTGGAAACAACAGAATTAAGAGCTTGGAGTAATTTGAAATTTGAATGTACAGGGAATTTGGAGTAGGCAGAAAAGCCTGAAGTTAATGTGCTGTTAAAATATGCAGTTTAGTCTTAAACATGAGTAATTCTGATTAAATTTCTTAAGGTTCATAAATTTAAGCTGCTTTGTGAGAACAAGATTTGCAGAAATCTGACCTGGAGTTATTTTTGTAATTGGATATGATTTTCAGATTTCACTGGGAGTGCTGTGTTTCTGTTCCACTGGATCAGTGGTTTCTGCTCAGGGGGAGTGAGAGGGGAGCAGCCCTGGCAGTGGCACCTGTCCAGAGCCACAGAGACACATCCTGATCCCTTGGGCTGGACTTTTTCAAACAAAGAGCGTGTTACCTCAGCCACATCATAAATTACAGCTAGAAAGAGAAAGAACATGGACCCTGCCTTTCTAGCAGGGTATCTGCTATTGCAACATTGCCTCTGTGGGGGAAAAAAGACCCAAAACAAAATAAAAAAGCAACTGGTTTATATTGCTGTGATTAAAGAAAACCTGTCAATTGAATGCTGTCAAATGTGATCAGGAACAGAGCAGAGCAGGCCCAAGCTTAATAACAAAGCAGAAACATTATTAAGCTACTTGTTTAAAGAAAAAAAAAAAAAAAGGATGAAAAAGTGCTATGTATTTTAGATATTTATAAATATTAGAGAGGAGTAGGGGTTTGAGAGGGTTTTCACCATTGTTAGGGCACTAAGATCAGTTAGTGAGCAAGACTTTATTGTGGATTAATACAAAAATGAGGGAATGGAAATGGTAGAAATGCTTCAAGGAGCAAGCAAGAGTATTGCAAAGGCAGAATCCTTTTCAAATGCAGCTGAAAGGTTCAGGAATTTACTATGCCCAGCACCTGGAGTGGCAATTTCCTACAGCAAGACAGAGTGAGGCAGTGGGCTGAGCTGTGGGGCACCTGGGGAGCACTCATGTGACAGGGAACTTGGCAAAACCAAGTCTTTTTGGTCTCATTAACCACAATAATTCACAGTGCTGGAAAACTGACAGAAGGAAAAAATTCCAGCTGTTTCAACATCTCCTGAAGGGATCTTGTGACTAGTCTGAGACACTTTTAAGATCTGGATTGCTGCTGAATAAAGAGGGAGCTGGATTTAAAAAGAGTTTTCTTAAGCAGGGAGCTGGAATGAGACAAATGTAGAAGTGAGGCAAAACTTCTGCGGGGAATTGCCATAAAAAAACCACATTTTCTCACACCTTGATATTGAAGGTGACTGTCTCCTGGTGTCCTGGCTAGAAGGAAAATTCGTGGCTGCTGAAAGATGGGAAGTTTATTACCAGTGATTAAGCAAATCACTCATGTGGTGTAGAGCACCTTCTTGAGAAAGAGCAACTTGAGTTGCCCACTGTGTTTGGAGACAAGATATTCTAATAGTGTGAAATGTGTGGTGGCAGAAAGATTTGGCAAAAGCACCTTGGTGGCACCCAGCTCCTGTGCCCTAGAGCATATCTGAGTGTGTGCCACTGCTCTGAGTGTGTTAAAAAAACAGAGGAGGCTTTTCTCAGGGAGAATTGCACAGTGGTTTCAATATCCAGCCTCTGGAAATGTCATTAACAGATTCATTTTTTGAAAAATGTTGTGCGCCTTGATCATGATTTAATCTTTAGGGGTTGCAATTCGTGAAAAAGCCATAATTTTTGTCCTAAATTAACTTTTAATAGAGTAACAAAAGCCCTGAAGGCCAAACCACTTCATCTTTAAAATGTTCACATATTAACATTTTTTCCACATCCATTAAATGAAGATGTTGTTCTACTGTGTAAATATCTTTATTTATTTTAATAACTTACTGCCTTCATAAATATTCATAAAATTGCTTTTTAACTGTCATAAAGTTTGGGAATCTGGAGGTTTGGATGTTTATGCAGAGGTTGTTGGCAGGCCCTTAAAGATAAGGTTTCACTAAATAGAAAATATTAAAGATTTCCAGAATAAAGGTAATTTGCAAAAAGGCTTCAATTTTAATAACTGTGTTAATTTTAAATAAGTTTACTTTGGAAAAAGTAATTTCACTTTTCTACAATTTATTTCCTTCCCTCTGGTACTTTTTATGGCTAGCAAATACAGTTGTGAAGATGTTAGTTTACATTGTAAATCTCCATTTAACGAGGACCCTCCCTTTCCTTCCATTCCTTCCTCCATCCCTAGAGATACACAAATATAAGTGTGTATGTTTATATACATACACACAGCGTGTGCATATAAAAATATACAAATAAAAACCATGGTAAAAACCCAAACATTTTAAAGGGAACATAAACACTTGATACACATTTCATTATTAAGCACACTGGGGTTTTGGTTGGGGTTTTTTGTAACCTTTTCTTGGATGGTAGAATTTTTTCCAAGGCTCCTAAAGTCTTTATATACACACATTTCCCTATATGAGTGCTATGGGACTTTT